GGCACTACACTAACTTTTCTGGTATTTCAACATATTAGATGTCAAATATTCCAAACACTTAAGCCTTACTAGAGGCTCTTGTGGCCTGAAGTGTACTTTCCTTTTAATGAAATAAAGTACCTTTATGATCTCATCCCCTTGGGCTCTTCATGGAGTTGGTGCTTAGAATGCAGTGTTTCAGATGCAAAATGTCTCAAGACTCCCCTATGTTCTATGGATAAAAACTATGATGTTCATACCCAAACTTAATTAAAATGCCCTTGAGTTTTCTTTCATTCTGTAGCAAACAGTCTAGCTCATTCACAGTCCTCATACCCTAAACTGCTCAAAAGGGAGACTGTAGAAACTCTTAGGATAACGCACACTTATTTTCTGTTCACAGAGAGGAAAAATAGTCAAAAGCTGGGATTATCTAAAGGCCACGTTTTACAAGATTTGTGAAAAGAGCTTGCTAGAGGTGCTTTCTTGGGAAAGAGAGGGTATCTTTGTGACCGGGCTTGGTGTGGAGAGGGTGAGGTAGTATTTAGCCTTTCTGTAGCACTTGCAGGTTTGCTGAGGGCTCTAAAAAGTTAAGCTTTAGCACCCAATAGAGACAATGTATTCCAAGGCCCTCAAAACGGGCAGGACTGTCTTAACCCTGGGCATTGGATAGTTTTAAAAAATGGAAGCCAGCAAAATCAAACTGGGAACTTGGGTTTGGATAAGTCTTTAAAAGTCACCTGGTTCAATCTCATCATTTATAGAGGGGGAGAGAAAAACCCAAATAGGCTAAGCCATTTGTCCAAGCAATTGTGCGTAGAATTAAAAGCAGAGCCAAGAAGAGAATCTAGAACTCTTATTGCTAAAGTAATAAAGAACAAGAACAATAATGATATACTTTCTAAGCTTACTATATGCTTGAAAGGTTCATATTATTTCATATAATCCTCACAATTACCCTATGAGGCAGAGAAAATACAATCCCAAAGGAAAGAAATTGAGGCCCAGGGAGGATAAGTGAATTACCCAAGGTCAAACAGATTTTAAGTGGGATCTGAACTCAGCTCTGTTCCAAAGTTCTTTTCACTGCTGCTCAGTTTCATTTTAACAGATTAAAGGAAGAATGGTGGCTATTTTAGGTTCTTGGATATAAACTCCAGGGAAAGATAAAAGACTAGCACTGTGCCTCCTTAAGTGTTACTATCCCCTAAGGTGCTGAAAGGTTGGCACTTCGAACCCACCCAGCGGCTCTGCAGGAGAAAAGACCTGGCAATCTGCTCCTGTAAAGATTACAGCCTAGAAAACCCTATGGGGCAGTTCTACTCTGTCACATAGGGTCGCTATGAGTCGGAATCGACTTGACGGCACAGCACCCAAAAACAAAAATAGCAAAGCCTTAGTAGTAAACTGTTTACAAAAATGGTTGCAACTCTTCCCCTTCCTATATCCTTTGCAGTGTGATTTAGCAGCAACACCCCTCACGAGGTGCAGTCTCCTTCCCCATTCCCTGAATCTGGGCTGGCTTTGTGATTTAACTAAGAGAATGCATTGGAAGTGACATGGTGCTAATTCTGAGCATAGGCCTTAAAATCTGTGCACACTTTTTTTCGTTTTCTTGGAACCCTGCCAGTCGCATGTGTGCAAACCTGATAGAGGTTGACAGACCATGTTTCACAGCCAAATCGGTCTAACTGTCCCAGCTGAGGTCCCAGAGATGTGAGCAAGCCCAGTCAAAATCAGTCGTGCCTAGACCAGATCAGTACAACCACCCTAGTAATCTGTGTTTTGAGCAATGATAAATGGTCATTGTTGTTTTAAGCCACAAAGGTGATTTGTTATGCACCAAAAGCTAACTGATACAGCCCTCAAACTCAAAGTCCATCATGTACCTGGTAAAGCCCGCTCTTCTTGATCTTGCTTTCTATGTGAGGAATCTTCTCTTTTAAATACAGAACACTCACAGGGCTGAGCTAAAGCTCAATGTGGGATGAGAATAAAAAGGCCAAAACATCTCTGCCACTTTATTTTATGATAACGCTCCAAATGTGGCCGCTAACTTTTCCCCATCTCTACCCCTCTCAACTCGGATAATCTACAGTTCTTAAGGCCACAGACAACCAACCACACATGCCCTTTCCCATCTAGGTGCAGGGATCCTGCAGAAGGACAGAACCAGCAATGAGCAGCACACACCATCAGGAAGTACAGGTACAAATGAACGATCATGTACACATGTTTCCAATTAAAGAACGGCAGGTAGCAACTCACCGAGGGCACAGGTAAATTGCCGTGCCGGCTGAGAAAGGAGTTAGAGACGGACACACTGATGCCCTGAGTGGCACTGCCGTCCTCGGGCGTGAAGGTCACTTTAGTTTGCTGGACACAGTAGGAGATAGAGGAGAAGGAAGAAGCAGCATAGGAGGCCTGCTGAACAGAAGGGAAGAGAGATGACAGGGAAGAAGGGAGAAAAGCAGAGAACAATCAAGCATATATATAATACATACATAAATGCTATGTGCTGGCTACCTAATTCTGCTCAGGGGCGTTTTGGATGGGGTAGCTTCGTGGATCAGTTCAGGGATCAAAAATAGCTGCTGAAGGCTACGTGAACAAGAGGATACCCTCCTTCTTTTCCTTATGACAGATTTAAAAAGTTAACTTTCATACAAATTGTGTCCACTGGAAGCAGGCGGTAAGGTGGAATAAGGACAAGCAGGCTTGCAGCCATACAGACCAGGGTTTGAATCCTGGTTCTGCCACTTATTTAGGGCTTTGAGCTCCTCCCACGTGGGGTGCAAATTCGTGAGGTGATTTATGCTTCACCAGAGTGCAGGCTGGGAGGCAGGTTGCTTGGGCTAGAATCTGGGCTCTGCCATCTATGAGCTGTTTGGCCTTAGGCATTACCTAAAGCTGTGCCTCAGGTTTTTCATCTGTAAAATGGGGTAACAATGGCAGCTCCTGGGTAGGACTCTGGGGAGGATTAAATGAGATAATATGTCCAAAGTACTTAGAACTGTGCCTACCACAGAGTACAAAGGCCAACAGATAAGAGTAACTATTATTACTATTTTTATCTGTGAAACAAGGACACCTCCCACATCCTCATTTGAGAGAGGGTACACTAGCAAGCAGCCAGCACAGTGCATGTGGTACATCTGGGCTTCAGTGAGAGCTGGCCTGGGTTCCCACTTCTAGCTCTGGGCTCTGAATAAGTCTCTCAGGCTCCTGAAGCCTCAGTTTACTAAAAACGGTCAAGACGGGAGCTGTGGCGAGGACTGTGTGAAGTCATACGAAAGCCCATGCTCACATGTGGGAGGCGTTCCACTCCTGGTGCTCTCTGAGGGCCTCTATCCCAGTTGCCTCTCACCAGTGTGCTGCTGCAGGATGGGTGCTGATCCCAAGTATGCTCATTAGGGATCTGTCTCCAAATACTCAGGAGCCTGTGGAACTCCTTGGTACAAAGGAGATGCCCAAAGACATCCGATGTGCACTTGTGGACACGGGTAGGAGAGTATAAGAATATTTCAAATCAATGAAATCTGGCTCAGCAGGGGTGTTAAATCCTCTCGTACAGAGCCAAACATTTTAGGTGATGATTCCCTAGGGTAGGCATTCATTTTTCTGTGGTGAAGATCCTTTTGTGAAACACTTTCAGAGCAATTAAAACATATATTTGGGCATATTTGGGTGTTCATGGGGTTGGCAGGGCAAATGGCATCAGTTTCATTTTGCAGACGAACTGAGACCCAGAGCACAGCACATGTGATACAGCTAGTTAGTGGCAGAACTGGAACTCAGAACTGGTTGGTTGTGATTCTTGAAATGAAATAAAAAGATGGCTTGGCCAGCACCGTGATATAGACTTCTGAGCCTATTCAATGTGGAAACTCCGGGGACTGGGCTTGGGCTCAATGCTTCATTATATGATTGTACAGTCCTCATATGACTGCAGAGTCCCAAGTCCCACAGCTCCTGAGGGCTGTAAGCAGTAACCCAGGGATGTCTGTCCTCCAGTTGGTATTTGCCTCCAAGAAGTCAGGGTAGCACCTTCATGTCCTCTTGCAATGGATAAAAGACGGTCCTGCTAGCCACACCTGTCCCCTCTCTTAATAAAAAGCTACCAGACTGGCCAGCATACAAGCAAAACAGCACATTCAGCTCTGAAAGTCAAGGGTTTCCTTCTGGGGTGTACTCTTCCTAGAGAGCATGGCTGGATGATATGCTTCGATTCTAAAAAACTGACCAGAGTCCACTAGGTTAGTCAACTGGTAGCAGAGAGAAAAAGGTGCAGAGACACACGACAGGCCTACCTGAGCTACCCAACCTGCCCAATCCTTGTACGAATTCCCTTCGTTTTACAGGTTGGCCACAGCAGGACAGCCTGTCTTCTGTGCTGACTTTTTCTTTATTATGTGTATGAAAGTCCTTAACACGGGAGATGTTTTTCAGAGAAGGAAGGGTGCTATGCCTGAAATACAAAGTGGCTCTGTGTATAGCCATCCTGCTTTCAATAGAGCTTGCTTTAAATGGGCCATCCCTGGCAAGAACTGGACTATAAGTCACTCTATAGAGTTAGGTCCATTATGTAAATCAAGCCCACAGATGGCCCGTACACAGACCATGCCCTGTGCTTTGATTAAGTCCCTCCTTTCTGGGAGGTCTACGTTTGAGCCAAAGAAGAGAGAAAAAATACAAGTGACTGTCTGCAGAGAAAGCAAATATTCTGAGTACAAGCCAGTCCCAGCTGCATCAGGCTGCTGTGGAAAAGAAAGGTACCACCCACTGCCACCAGGGAGGGAGACAGGCAAGTGAGAGCCAGGCTGCCAGTGAGCTGATTAGGAGGATGTGAAAGCACCCGAGTGGGAGATGGCAAGTCCAACACACACGCCAAGGGCCCCGACATGGAAGAAAACCGAGTTAAGCCTGCCCCCCGAGGAAGATCATTCTAGTTCCTAGAGACCTGTTAGGATTGAAGATTCTGGTCATGATGGGCAGATAAGAACTGTGAGGGGGCCGCTTACCAGCTGCCGCTGCTTTGGGGGAAGGGCAGGGGGTGGGGCCAGCTCCTGTGCTGAGTCTCCACTGCTGAAGGAGTCGTTGAAGCCATACACTTCCATGAGGAGCTTGTTCTTCTGCTGGTAGATGTGCTCGTTCTGCGGCGTCTGGTAGAACATGGAGGGTTGGGGCTCGGAGTAGTCCTCGAGCAGCTGCATGTAGGCCAGCACTGCAGAACAGAGAGGGCAGTGGATGGCAGGCAGCCCCTTGCATTCTTGGCTGCACTCTGTTAGTGAAACGCAGGCTAAAGTGGGATTGGGGGCTGCCACGCTATGAGAACCCCCAATCCTTCTCCTGGCAGCCAGGCAGTCAGGGTGATTTCCTTAGGAAGTACATGGGTGCACTTCACTCCTGTGCTGAAAACCCCCTGGCAGTTTCCGGCCACACTCTGAGTGACATCATGGCTCTGAAGGGGCTCACAAGGCCCGGCGGAGTTGGTCAATCCCAACTTGCACCGTTCCATGCTTCTCTCACGCAGCTCCAGCTACACTACCTTCTCTTAGCTCCTGGAACAAACACCTTAGGGATTCCTGCACATGCTGTTCCTGCTGGCCCAAATGCTCTTCCTCTGACCCTCCTGAGGCCAACTCTTTGCCTTTATGGCTCAGCTTATGTTCACTGAGAGGCTCATCAGGACCAGCTGCGTCCCCACTAGTCTCCAGCTGTGTCCCTCATTTGGTCCCTTCTTAGCACTTCCCGTAACTTGCAGTTAGTTATCTGTGGGCTTTCTTCATGCCTCCCATCTCACTGAACACCTAGTTTATGCTAGGCACTGACGAAGGTGCTGGGACCACATGGTGACCAGCAACACAAATCCACTGCCCTTGTGGAGCTCACATTCTGCTTAGGGAGACAGACAATTGACAAACATGGTGGACTGTTAGAAATGAGTCCCGTGGTGAACAGTAAAGCAAGGTGCGATGGGGGTGCTATTCAAGAATATGGATGAACCGTGTGATGATTAGGGTGACAGCCTTCCCCACCATGTGCGATACAAAGGCCCAAGGCTGGGAAGAAGGCCCAGGAGGGCAGACCACAGCTGCATGGGGAGACTGAAAGGAGACGAGGCTCTACCAGGCAGGGGCCAGCTCAGGGGGCTGTGTGAGCAGAGCCAAGGACGCAGGTTTTATTCAGAACATGGTGAAGGGTTCTACTTATTCTAGGGCCGCTGTGGGTGTTTAGGTGAGAGATCACAGTGGGAGTGTTGGAAGTGATGAGAGGTAGTTCGGTTCAGGATAGATTTGAAAGTAGAACCAACAGCATTTACTACTGCCTCCCCATCAAGAGTTGACACTCCATGAGGGCAGGGACTGAGTCTGTGTTGGTCACTGCTGTATTATTAGTGCCTGGCACACAGGAGGTGTTCCATAAATACTTGGAATGAATGACTGGAAGAACACATGTCCGTCAGCAACTGTCCCTAGTGACTTGCAAAACCAGAAACGGCTTTACCAGGCTACAGCCCCTGGAGTACGTCTAGTAAAGTACCTACTGGGTATGCAAGAAATTCAACTCTCTCCTTTCAGCTGAAAGGCTATACAACATCCTAGTGAGAAGGGCAAATGGTGAGGAAAAAAGTGCTGACTTTCAAATAGATGCACTGTACCCTCTCCTCCCTAAAAATCCATTCACAAACACCTGCCATCTTATGCTAAGCTGCTGCCTCACAGTGGAGCTGCCTGCACCAACACAGCCGCCTAGTGGGCAGGCCGGGCTCGCCTGCTCCTTGTGGCACCACCAACAAAGAGACATCTGCAGCGAACAACAGCAGGGATCTCACCCGCCTGGGGAGGTGAGAAGTCAGCAGAACAAAGAGCTCAGCTGTCACATCTCGGTGATGTCATCTTCCGCAGGCACCTTCTCACTGAAGCAGGTGCGGAGCCCTCAGCCCTCACGTGGGAGCATCAGCATACACTTTACTCGTGATATTTCAGGGTTAAGGATCTGAGCCTCGCCACCCACAGAACCAGGTCCTTCTGAAGACTCCAGACCCTGAAATCCACAGGGTTCTGGGAGACACAAAGTTTGAGCTGACTGTGTACAGCACAGCCCTCCTGATGTCCTTCATGAAGCTGTGAGGGTTGAGATAAGCATGGGCCCTGTCTCCAGTCCCACTTACATGGACCACTTACATGGCATCCCCCACAGCAGAGTCTAGGTCAAGCAGACACCTGTGAAGATACGTTTCCTGAAATCGTGTACTCTCTTTCCCTTCTCTAGGTAGTGGAGGAAGCTCCTAGCTGTTAGAACATTCCCTATACATAATGTATGTAACAATCTGTAGACAAAAGGCACTGTTAGGCCTCCTTAATACACGGTTAAGAATGAATACTAATTAACATACATACAGAGTTGTTGCACACACACTAAGAGGGATGGAATGTGACAATGAGAGCTGGGAAGAAAAAGGGGCCTCAGGTTTGGAAGCAAAGGAATTTAAGTCGGTGTGTGGCAAGCACAAGCAAGGAAGCATCATTGATCACTGTCCCCTTGGATCCTGTCTCAAAGTGTCAGGAGCAACTGTTGGGTGGGGCTGAAATTCAGATGACCAAGAGAAAGTCTCAAGGATAGTCTTGCAGTACTCACTTTTGTATTTTCATGTAACCACAAAGTCAGGGGCTTAAATGGAGACCTATTAACTAGTCAGAAAACTAAAGGACAGAGACGCTTAGCTGAGGTGGGCAATCACAAATGTAGGGGGTTTATCATTTTCTTTCCTGCATCTCATTTTGGGTCCAGGTATGTAGGAAATGCTCTTACACGGTATGTTTTTTTGGCACCCTGCACTGAGAAAGGGGGTTCAAAGCCCCCCTTTAATAATAAATAAGCATTCTTATGAGCTCCAGTCAGCACTGAGTGGAACTTGGCCTTAGAGGTGTGCAGGATGAGAACACGGTTTCTGCACAAGGTCAGCTGCCGTTACCGCAAAAACAAAAGTGCAGCTCACAGTCTCCCTGATCCGCACAATGCTTTTTCTTTAACACTACAGAGTCAACACCACTAAGTTCTAGAGGAAGATGCAAGCCTGTGAAGGTCATCCCAAAATGCCTACTAATTGCTCCCTTAAAAGACTAAACACAATCACTTTCTGCTGGCTAAAATGGGAAATTTTAGTAAAACTATAATCTTTCCAGAATGTCTCTACGACCTCTTGATCGTTGAAGACTCTCCAAAGACCTGCTAACCAAGCATGGAGAAACAGCAGTGATGTTTCACAACCTTTCAGAAACAAGGAGGGCCAGGCCATTTCAAAAGCAGCCCAGCATGATGGATCAGAAACCAGAGCTGCCAACATTATTCAGAAGGTTCAATAGGCTGTGCTCCCGACTGCACCCAGAACTGTGGGGTCTTTAGGTGGGCAGACCACAAAGCTTGGTGCTCGTCCAGCACAAGGGGCTCGTGTGGCTGCCCTTGGCGAGAGGAGCCAGGGACACTCCTTCAGAGCATCTCCAAAGGACGAGGACACTCTATGACATTGAAATTGTACGTGTCTGAGGCTTGTCTGTTGTTAGCAAATACAAACCATAGCTATGATCTCATTCTTCCTTCAGAGCAACTTTGTGAGGTGTTTTCCATGGGGAATTCTGGAGTTGCAGACTGTAACTCTCTGAGGCTTCCCACAGGAAGTAAACAGCAGATTCAAGACTAGAATCCAAGCCTCTGGATGCCTTAAGTTTAGGGTATAGAAAAGACTACCCCACTGCACGGGGTCACTACCTGAAACTGGGCAGGGCCTATTCAAAGAGGGCTGAAGCCCTTTCCACTTAGTGAGGGAGGCAGTGTAACATATTGGTTAAAACAATGGCTCTGGGACCACAGAGGCCTGGGTCTGAATCACGGATTTGCCACCCACTTGCATGTTGATCTCAGGCAAGCTGCTTAATTCCTCTAAGCTTCGGTCTTTTCCTCTATAAAATGGAAAATAATGGCCATCTCACAGATGGTTGTAAGGGTTAAATAAATAGGATATATAAAGCTTTAGCTCAGGGTACATCACAACTTAAACTACTATTAGTTTTCAAAAGGTTTGCAGGCACAAATGCTACGGACATTGATGAATGGGATAACGCATCAAAATGGATACATAAATTAATAGAAAATTATTTTCAGCCACTTAAGGCTTCAGGCTGTTCAAAAGGATGAAAGGATGCTCCCTTCCCTTCCCCTCCTCACAGCCCCCTAGCATGAGGACAACTGCTGCCCAGCACCTGTTCTAAAGCTGGAAGAATGAGGGCTTGCTTGCCCCACGGCAGCCAGCATCTTACGCTGTCACAGTTAGCGTGAAATGCAAGCCTTCCCTGCGTTTTGAGTTCAGAGGAATCCCAGAAAAGGAAAGGGGGTGAGCCTAAAACAGAAGGATGCTCAAATCAAGGTAAATATGGGTGGAGGAAAGAGGACAGTAGCTCTTTACACACTTTTGCGTGCAGAAGGGGCAGCACAGTGGGAAAGATTCTTGGCATTGCTGTTTGTAGCCCCCTCTACTTAGTGCCCTGGTTTTTAATGAGCAAATTTAAACAACAGATGGAAATGACATCATTAGCCCTACAGAGCCAGCTCTCCCCCAGCTGGGGGACCACACCACTGAGGCCATTATGCAAGGAGGGCAACACCCAGTGAGGAGCTGGGGAGTACATTACACCATCAGCTACAGCCTCCTACTGTCTTCCTTCCCTGGACCACCCAGGCGGCCCTCGGGATAAACCCTGCTAGTCTAAGCAGCTAGGTCTTCCCTTCTCTGAGAATGGGGAGGCTCTCATTTGGGAATTTGGAATGGAGATTCAGTTCCTAGCTCCCTGAAGTCCTCTGCTGGATGCTTCAGCTGAGGCCAGGGAGTCCTGGAGTTGGCCACATTCACATCAGGATGGAGAGAGCTGGTCAGCCCAAGAAGAGTGAAGCAGAATTGTGTTTGTGAAGTCAGGGAGAGGGTGGGGACAGAGAAAGAGAGACAGGAAACGCTCTACAACGTGGAGTAGTTAGGAGAGCTAGCAGAAAATAAAATTTCCACTAGAACTCTAATTAGGAATTTTAGGGCAAATTTACAGTTGGAAAATACTCAAAATACAAATATTCAAAGGGTCAGTTCTCCTATGGGCCCTAGTAATATAAAGAGAGTAAAACGTCTGATCCATGAAGTGTCCTCAGCTACACCTGCCAAGCATCTTCAAATTTCCTGTCATTATTTGAGCATGCTGTTTTCAGTGCCTGCAGACAGAGGGCAGGGCTAGCGCCCAGCTATGTTTCTCTAAACAGCCACCTTGCATACTTGCAGGGATTCTCAGAAAACTAGCATGTGCTAGGAAATTCCTGTTTTTAAAATTCAAATTTCTACCTTGCTTTCTGAAGGTGTTGCAGGAAGGCAGCCCTGAATGCCGTGCCGCTCTGTCACTGTGTGTTCAGGTGAGAAGGGTCAGTGCCTCCTGCTCTCGGGCAGAAGGAGCACTCTGGGTTTGTGGAGCTCAGGTCGAAGCTTTTATAAAGACCACCGGAGAGGTCAGCTTATCAGGCTTTTACAAATTTTGGTTTTTAAAAATCACCAGTATCGACAAATCAAGGCTGCCAGAGGTGTCCGAGTACCTATCTTTTATGAAATAATGAGGCCACTGATTTGATTTTGGCCTAATGCTTGAATAAAATATACCACCACTTCATGTTACAAAATGTGCTTCCTTACATTAGCTCAGCGAAAGCTTACTGTGTTTGTTTTTCTTCTCTGGTAGAGGAGGTGGTTTTTCTGGGTCACCCGTTGAATCAGCAACAGTGAAGTCACCCACAAACTCGACAGGGGCTGGAGATCCTCCTTGCTGAAAGGGGAGAACAGCAGCAAAGGGTGTGAAGGGGACAGACTGGACTGAGGCTGGGTTCTGCAGGTCATCCTCGGTGATGTTGTCATACTGTGAAGGGTGTCGCTCGTAGGACACCTTGCAGCCAGAGCTGTCCGTGGTCTGGGAGGCTGCACTCCTGCGCTTCTTCTCTGGGAGAGCAGGCGGTGTGTCTGTCTGCTGCCCCAGGGCCAAGGGCCCCTCTGGCTGGGGACAGCTGCCAAGAGGCAGCTGGAAAGGATGGCCAAGAAATGGAGACCCAGACTCCCCCAAGGACTCCGGCAACGGGCTAAGGTTACAGGCCACTTGCTGAGGTATCTGGTCTGTGTTAGAGAGGTCTTGCTGGAGGAATTCATAGTCGGGATCATAGTGATCTGCATTCACAACAGGGGAAAAAAATATCTGTTAGTCACAGGCTCACAGAAAAAAACAATCTCACCATTCTTATTTTACCCAATCTTGCTCATTATACTGTGGCAACAACATGTCTTTGGTCTCATCTATACAGTGCTCTCACTTTATTTTATATTCTTCATTGTTTTCCCTGATTATAAAAGTAAAACACAGGAGAATACCACTGTTTGCTATACTATTCTTTGTATTTTTCTACTTACTTACTTAAAGAAAAATACATGACCATTGTAGAATATATGGAAAGCAAACTATATCAAGAAAACAAAAATCATCCATAATCCCATAACCTAACTATCATCACCACCTGCATTTGGATGTATTTCTTTAAAGTCTTTTTTTCCTAGGATTTTTTTTTAAATCAAACTAAGAAATACCACATAAACAATCTTGGATTTTTTTCCATTTATTAATTTATCACAAGTGATTTTTAATAGCTACATATTATTTCATCAAATGAGTGTACTATAATTCACCCAATTTCCCACCAATGAGTATTTAGATTGTTTCTAGTATTTTACTACTCCCAATAATGCTGAGATTAACATCCTTGGACAGAAATCTTGTTACAAATCTCTAATTATGTTCTTAGAATAAATTGTTATTGGTGTAATATGTAGTTCAAGGGATGTTACAGCTTTATTCTCTTTAAATCTATTGTCAAACTGCCCTTCCTACTTTCACACAAACACACCTGCACAAATTCAGCACTGATGAGAAGTCAGCATGTGCTGCTAGCTTGCCTTTAACTTCTGGCAAATGTTGTCAGGGGCTGTCCCCCTTTGTTTCCAGCTCTGAGCACAGATGGCTCTTAATTTTGGTGGAGAGTCAAACGGCATACTGACAGATTAACAGTAACAATAGCTAGCATGTGAGTATCTCCTATGTGGTTTCACATTGTTATTTCATGTAAACTTTCAGCCTCTTCAGGATGTAGATATTGTGATCCTCATTTTGTAGATGAGGAAACTGAGGCTCAGCTTCTAAATGACTTGATGAAGGTCACAAAGCCTATAACTGGCCTACCTGGGATTTGAACCCAGAACTGTATGACTCCAAAGAAACTACCGCAAAATGATGAGACAGAATGAAGAAGTCTGCCCAAGCAGAGTGGGGGCACAGAGGCCTACAGCTCACCTAGTGTTTCACAGCTTGTGTTCCGGGAGCACTGCCCGCTGTCCCTGTCCAGAGAGGACAGCTGCTCATCCGACTTGCTGAGCTTGCCTATGCTGCTGCAGGGGGAAAGGCGAGGGGACTCTCCGCCGTATGAGTGGCTGCCTCCTGAGAGTCGTCTCTGTGAGTAACAGTCAACGTCAAAATCCTCATGTGGAAAAATAAAAAAACAAACCCAGTCACTTCTGAGAAGTGGTGGCAGAGAACAGGGAAGAAGCAATCAGTACATTAACCTAGAGAAGGAAATACCATCAAGCTCAGAAACCTGTTGGAAAGGCCCATCTTTGATGTAAGCAATAAAAGAATGTATCTGTGACTAAAGAGAAAGAAGCCTTTAGGAACTCTCAGCGTGTGGCAAAAGAAGGTCCTTAGGCTGGACTCAGCTGTCCTCAGGAGATGTCCCTTTGGCTCCAGTCTCCTTCTCCCCACTCCCCATATGGGAACTTCTACCATGTCTTGGAGAGAGAAGGAAGACTAAGAAGACTTCAACCCCTCCAATAGCGATCGTCTCATTCGGACTAACAGCAGGGTCTGAAGACCACTTGGTTTCTTTCAGCTTTAGGAACCAAATCCTAGAACTCAAACTCTTCCTCTGCCTTTCCAGATGGGGCTGCATTACCTGCTTATTAATTCCAACAGGCAAACTAGAGCCACTGGTAGCTCGGCTCATGGGGGCCACTACAGCCACTCGGGTAGGGGATGGAGCCGACTGTCTTTTCTTGGGTGGCAATGCTGGTGGAGGGCTGAAACAGACCAACAACTCCAATCAAATCAAACAACTCAAACGAAAATTATTTAGAAAGATACCACAGGATGTAGAATTCTTTCATTATTAAACTCTTGCACACCTAGTTTTCACACTTTCAACTCCTGCCCTACTCTCCTGCTTAAAGTCAAGTCAGTAACACCAAAAAAAAAACTAAAATGAGAAAAAAATTTTTTTTTTCCCTTTAATAGAATACATTGTACCAGTTTTCACTTGGCTAAGGCTAAAAGGCAAGGGCAGTAATACTTCAGGTCAAACTTTCAAAGCTTCTAAAGAGAAAGGGATTGAGCTCTAAGTTCTTATCCTAACTGTACCATCTTCTTTTTTTGCTCACTCTACCTATTCATTCATCAAATTATATCACAAATAGGTGGTAATGGGGGGAAGTGCCAGAAAAATAGAAATTAGTGTGATAGCATCATTACCTATTATCAACCACTCGGATGCCAGGTAAAGGGGGCTTGGGAGGTGCGACCTCTTCATCCGCAGAGTCTGGGAGCAGCTCAGTCGACTGTGACATCCCAGTTGTCTTGTTTAGAATCTCCATCTCTCGATCTGTCAGGGGGAGCTCAGACTGGCTGCAGAATGTAAAAGAAGTTGGGGTTACAGGAGGTCCTGAGAGGGTGATAATGAATGGGACCAGGGCAAAGGGATGATGGGGCTGGGGACAGGCTGTGAAGCAGGAGCTCTCAACACAAGAGCACTGGACTCCAGGTCAGATGAGGCTTCAAGTCCGGTTTGATCCCTAACAGGATTCTGGCCGAGCCCCCACTGTGCACATCAGCTTCATCATCTGTAAAAGGAATCTTTAGCATAAATGATCTGAAGTCTCCCTAAAATGCTCTGAATTTATGTTTCATATTTTTACTAGGGGCTTGTAGTAGAAATTGTTGCAAACCATTAAAATGATCCGTGTTACCCTCGGTTTACTTTCTTGGTAAAGATAATATTACAAAACCTTAAATGCTCTCAAGCCAAATCTCCGAAATGCAACCCTAAAAGGTTCTTTCTAATTATGAAATGGAAGCCGGTCAGGAAAAGCACTGGTATGGGTCACTGTACACACTCACACACTAAACCTTAGATATAAGCATAGTGAATATTTAAACTCAAAACAGGCAATACTCCAAAATGTGTGTGAAATATACACATTTTAAAGTAATACAGACCCTCATCCAGAACATATCATTGAAAGAGACTACAGGCCCCACACAGTGTACCTAACGTGGGCTACCCAATTTGACTCTCATTCTTTCTCAAGTGTAGACTTTGCCACCAAATACAGCAGTGACCAGAGGGTTTTGTCAGCACTTACCTGTCAGGTTTGCAGGCCGGGGAGCTGGGCTTCACTGGGCTTGTTGGAGACGGACGCCCCTGCTTCTCAATGGTAAGTCTGACCAGCTCCTACACCCCACACAAGAGAAGAGCAATGAGGCACAGAAAAGTTGCTTTTCATTGCTCATTCTTCACAACAAGGTAGGTCACTTGTCTGTCCTCCACTGCTGTATCTCGTTTCTGTGCCTACAGATTTCCCACACACCATAAATGCAAGTGTTATTTGACTCAGGTACTCTGCATGACTTCCCAAAATGTCCCCTACTCTCCAAAAATACCTTCATAGCATGCTAAGACATCTCAAATGCATAAAGGCACTTCCTCTTGGAAGGGGGAAATGAAAAATCCCACTGTCTCAAAATGACTACGTTTATTGCACAAATTAAATTCCCAGTAGATTTCCAGTCGCTTTGTGGGGGAAGGACTACTTTTTAGTTTCCTAATGCCATTATATTGCATGTATGATGATGCCCAATAATGATGAAATCTCTGGCGTCAGGAACGGGCAGTTTCCCAAAGTGAGCTGGTCACGGGTGTGGTGGCAGCCAGTACCCCATGATGAACTGGTTCAAGGTCTTTGTTAATGAACAGAAAGTTAAGAACACTTTACCCAGTAGAAGATATAACTTTTGAATCACTAAAATACCAGGATAAAGGAGTAAAGTACAAAAGAAAAAGAAAAAAAGAAAGCAAGCATTTTCAAATCACAGGGGTAAAAAAAAAAAACAAACGAAGAGGTGAGGATCTACTTGTTATTTTTTTTCAATTAAAATGCATTTTTCCAGCTTAATGAGTTTTGAAAACTGCATATACTCATGTAACCACTACTCAAAAAATACAAAAAGCTTCCATCACCCTTTCTAGTCAATCTACCCCAACCCAACCGCTTTTTCACTTGTACTGTCTTAGATTAATTTGTCTGTTCAAGAACTTCATATAAATGGAATCACTGTCTATCTTCTTAAAGAGCTGTATTGGTACATAATTCACATGCCATAAAAAATCACCCATTGAAAGTATATAATTCAATGGCTTCTAGTATGCTCAGAGAGTTGTGCAACCATCAATACAATCAATTTTAGAATATTTTCATCTCTCCAAAAAGAAACCCTGTACCCATTAGCAGTCACTCTCATTTATCCTCAGCCACCCAGTCCTTCTGTTCCTTTTCAGTGCTGAGTAGTTTTCCAATGTATGTACACTGACAATTTATCTATTCTCCTGTAGAGGGACGTCTAGGTAAGACCTACTTGTGTTTAATGAGGGGTTTCAGGCTGTCAGCATAAACATCTATTTCTATTGTAACAGAAGAGGCAGCAATGGATGTAAGTGGGTAATATACAAGTGTGTTCCTAAATCAAAGACTGCAAACTCAAAAAAGGTACACATAAAAAGTGTAAAACATGTGATTAGGCAAAAAGCAAGGGTTGTTTAAAAAAAAAACAAACCCAAAACTAGAAAAAAGGTGAACACACCGAATGAAATATTAAAGAAGAAATTCATATATCTAAATATCAATTATCAATAAGCATACCAGTTTTTCCAGCTTTGCTGATAATAAAATAGAAACTTTCAGATACAGTGGGTTGGAGTAAGACTTGAGGCAGTCTTTTCAGAGGATGACTTGTCAGTATATATCAAAAGCATTAAATATTTACATTCTACTTATAAGAACTTTTGCCCAAGGAAATGTCATGGATGTGTACAAAAATTAAGCCACAAAGGATGGTCATCATATCATTACTTATAATAGATAAAATTAGACTATTCAATATTCCATAATTAAATATTCATCAATAAGGACTGATGGCATAAACAAAAAGAGCCAAACAATGGATCGTTATACTGCTATTAAAAACAAAGTTGGAATAAGAATATGTAATTATATGAAATGATGTTCTTAATATAATGTTAAGTGAAAAAATAATCCCATATGGTACACTGGTATATATAGTATGAAACTATTTTTGGACACAAAACCAAGAATACATGTATAGAACAAAAAACATGGCTATGAAACAACCCTTATCTTCTTGTTATTGTTTATTCGTATTTTCTAAATTTTCTACAAGGAACATGTATAACTTCTGAAATACTAAAAAAAAGCAAAACAAAAACTAAAAGCATATATTCTATATGGCCAGAATAAGTGCCATTCCATTTTATAGTATCTAAGAGAAATGTGGAGAAGTGAGATCTCTAAGAGTCAAGTACTAGAAGCAAAAAGAATGTTGATATTTTATTGTTACCACAATTCAGAAGTTAAATAAAACTTTACAAATATTTCAGGAATAGCTACCTATCTGGGGATGACAGATAGGACAAGGATGGAGAGATGAGAGACTATGTAAATTAGAATGGCTTGCAGTTAGTACTGAGGCAGCCCCGTAGCCTGGAGGAGGATGTGAGAAGCAGAACTTCCTAAAAAGCTCATTGCCAGGCCATGTGGAGAGTATTACGGAGTCAGGGAATCAAGGAGCACCAGACCAAAGTGACTTGAAAGCCCCATGCTCAGGTTCACTCTTCTTTACAAACAGTGCCAAAAACCCTAAAAAAACCAAATTCACTGCTGTCGAGTTGATTCCAACTCAGTGACCCTACAGGACAGAGTAGAACTGCCCCATAGGGTTTTCAAGGCTGTAAATCTTTATGCAAGCAAGTTGCCACATCTTTCTCCCACAGAGCAGCTGGTGGATTTGAAACACTGAACTTTCAGTTAGCAGTTGAGCGCTTAACCACTGCACCACTAGGGCTCCTAAGCATGACAAAAGGAACAGAGAAAAGCCTGCACATTTGTATCTGCTGACATAGGAAAAAATTCCTCCAATTCCTCATTGATTCATGAGCAATTATAATTAGACTGTCATCTTTCTGAAGAAGCAGCTGTGCAAACTCAACTAATGAATGATGGCAAAAGAATCATGGAATGACAGGCGCACATGTAAAAGCACGCACCCAAATTCCAAGATGGTGTCCAGACTGCAACAACTCTTCCTTCCACCAGTCCACTGGCCTAGGCTTGAAAAGAGTGTGGAAAAACGGCAGGCAGCTTTTTTCATTCACCACCAACCTTCCAGTCCAAACAGACTAGCCAGAAGGTCTTTAGTCTCAACTTGCCTTATCTATCACAGAGTAGAGCTCTTAAAACATGCACGCATCTGGCTACTGTGTTAACACCCTAATCTCATTCAGAGCTGACCTGCTTGTAACTTGGCAAGAGGCCAACTCCTCCTACTGAAGGTCTCAGCCTTCTCCCTGGTGGAAGAACATGGTATCTTTGAGATGTGTGCCTCTTGGCAGATGGCAGTAGCTAAAGCTGGTGGACCTTTGCTGATAGATGAGCTTGTCTTGGCAACTACTGTATACCACGTGCCCAGGACAGTGCCTGGCACACAGGAGGTGATCAATAAATACTTGTAGAAAACAAGTCACATGAGATCCATTTCATTATGGCTCACCTGTTTAGTTAAACTCTTAGTTTGGGCTTGGATACAAGAGCCACTTCAGGGTGTGTCTGAAGCACGCTTTGGTAAACTGACTCATGGTATCCGAGAATCCTGGGAGGGAGGCAGGCATAGTCCCCAGGCAGCTATCTGACTTTCCAGGGAGACACTACTAACTCAGTGTTAATACATGGATTAGAGAAAAAAATCTCATTTTGTTTTCAAAATGCAGAAAACAAAGTATCACAAATCTTATTGCTGTTGGGGATATGCAGAAGATGGCAGTGATTCTTACAGGGAAGGGCTACCAGAATTTCTGACAGGGATGTCAGGTTTTTCCATCATCTTGAGGCACAGGTTAAAAAACTGGAAAAAGGCTGCACTTGACTATGGGTCTGTAGCCAACAACTGGATCAGTTCATGGATTACTGGCTCTCTAAAGTCAAAAAGAATATTTTCTAAATATGTAACACTTTATTTCCACATTCGTTTTCTTCAGATGGAAAATGATCAAAGTGCTGGATAAGCTTCAGTGACCTTCAGCAAGTCAAACTGTAGCTCTGGTGCTAAAGTAAGAGAGCAGCACAACGCTACTAATCTTCACATTTTCTCCTTGACACTAAGACAAAGGCCCTGCCTGCCAGAGAGGAACACAGACTGCACAATGAAAGTGCTCCTGACGCGGTACCCACTGGCAACACCGACCTCCTAAGACTCATTGCCACGCTGCCCCCGACCACAGGGTTCTCAAGGACACAGCATAAGATCGACACCCTCCACATCCAGACTAGACTAGAGGGAAACCACACTTCAACTGAAAAGCACACTGTTCTACAACCCATGGCCTTCTGCTCCTGCTCATGCCCCATCCCGATCCATCTGTTTATCCTGTCACTTTTTGGCCCCTGTGAATATTCTGGGTTGGGGACCACAGCCCAGGGAGACATGCATTTACGAAGCAGACACAAGGCCTCTACCAGTCAATTCTTCTAAGATAAGTTCTTCAGATGCCTTGGATTGAGTCTGGGTCACCAAGAACACTGAATATAGGCCAATGGAGGAGTTTCCTGTAACTAAAATTGAGTAAAGAAATCACAGGGGTGTCTGACCCAATGTGATATTTTTTATATGGTGACAAAAAGTGACCTTCCCTGCCCACATCCTAAGTGGTAGGAAAAGGCAGCAACAGAAGACAGGAAGTATCTTCCTTCTCATATGCAATCAAGAAGGGGCAGAGTACTAAGCACTCAAGATGCAAAAGTAAACTGGGGTTGCAATTAACTCCTGAAATCAGCTCCTAGAGGGTTCGCATTCCTTGTACAACCTAAAAGCAAGGCAGCCAGAGGCAATCTCAAATTTTCCACCACAGCAAGTGGGATGATGATGAGACCTATCTAGAAGCTGTGTTGGACAGGGTCTATGTTGCAGGGGAAGAGGGGGGCACAATTCTAAAACCAGTGTACCTATGTATCCAAAAAGCAAAATAATGTGGTTGAGGCAAGAAGCTACAATTCAAACAATAAAAGCTTGCAGGAGTCACTCAGGAAAAAAAAAAGCCCTAAAGAAGCTTTTAGATAATTGAAAGATAAAACAAAGATCTCTTGACCTTTGAACCAAGCAATATAA